TTGCAGAGATCTGCCTTCGCTGCCCCCCTTCCCTGGCCCTGTGCTGGTATTAAAAGCATGCATCACTATGCCAACTCAAAATCCAATTAGCCAGCCTGATTGGAGTAATGAAACTAGAAACTAGAATAACATATGTGCAAGTGTTGGCATGTGCACATGCATACATTTTGACATAGGCTCACGTGCAGCTCAGGCTGGCCTCAAATTTCCTATGTAGCCAAAGATTATCTTGAATTCCTAATTCTGTCTATTGAATTTACAGATGTATAATAATACTGCACCTAGTTTTGTTTTATGTGGTGCCAGACAGTGTTAGAAAATATAAATTACTTTCATTACTCTTTAGTATACTTTGTTAATAGTAACCCATTCAAAAGTCCTAAATATTCACAGAAAAATTGTGACCATGGACATGATTCAGGCTATAGCTCCTGAAAGCCAGGGACACTGCTCAGTTAGTAGAGCATTTGCCTGGCATGTAAGAAGCCCTGGGTTTGATTCTGTAGTATATTATAGATGTATGCTTGTGTATATGTGTATATGCATACACTAAATTTGGTTCAGAGAACAGCAGGTTTGGGTGTAACTATATTGATCTGGGAATTATACAAGTTCACGGAGTTGAATTGACAAAGCATGTATTTTTAAACTGCCCTAGATATATTAACAGTCCTGTAGCACATTGTGGCTGGGAACTGAGACCCCATTTTAACTCTTGACTGTGGGCATTCAGGTCTTGTGCAACCTTCATGCCCCTGCTTCCTGTGGTCAGGGTTGCACACCCTGCATTTACTGTGCTTTTCCAGTTTTATCTGTAATGGCAGTTGCCATTTTCAGTATGTTTCATGTTGATGGTTTGAATGTAAAGTGTCTTCCAAAAGACTTGGTCTCCAACTGGTGTCACTATTGAGGTAGTTATATCACCAGGATACTAACTTCATCAGTGAATCTATTGTTGAGTTGATTATTGGGCTGTTGGGTCTTAGATGAAGTCAACCACTAGAAGTATGCCTCTAAAGGTTTTTGGTGTTAATCCCTATAGTCCCTAACTTGCTTCTCTCTGTTTCTTGGATGCCATGAGGTAAGCAGCTTTCTTCAACCATCCCTTCTGCATTGATGTTTCCTCTGTGGTGCAGGACTAAAACAGTGGAGTCAATTGGCAGTGGTTGAAACTGTGAGCCAAAATAAATCTTTCCTTTTCTAAGATGTTGGTCAGATATATTGTGACTACATCAAAAACTAGCATATTTCAGATGCAGAAGAAGAATAACTTTATCGTTCTTGGATTTTCATAGTGCAGTACAGACCCAGACAAGATGTGAAATCAATCTTAAGTAGGGTATAATCTTGAAGCACTCCTCAGGCTGCCCTGCTTCATACTTTCTTGTTACTGCATAGCTACTTAGGAATCAAAGCAGCAGATATTTACTGTGTGGGTGAGGACTCAGGGAGCAGCCTAGCCCTGTGCCTCTGCCTGAGAGTCTCTCGTGAAGTTGCAGGAAGGCTGTTAGCTGGGTCTGTGCTTAGCAAAGTATGATTGTGGGAAGATGTTCTTCCAAGCTCACACAGAAGTGGCTCACTTCCCTGTCACACAGGTAGCTCTATGGCATGACTGACGTCATGGCAGATATTCTGATTCTTTTTTTTTTCTTTTTGGGTTTTTCGAGATAGGGTTTCCCTGTAGCTTTGGAGCTTGTCTTGAAAACTAGCTCTTGTAGATCAGGCTGGTCTCAAACTCACAGAGATCCGCCTGCCTCTGCCTCCCAAGTACTAGGATTAAAGGCGTGCACCACTACCACCCAGCAATATTGTGATTCTTAATCCTCATTATGAAACTGAACTTTTTTTTTAATCTCTGGCAACTCTGGACATATTTTGTTCATCTCCACTACATTAGACTTTCACAGGAATTTGCCTTGGTGTGTTGAAAAGGGTCGTGTTAAACAATGCAAACTGACAAAGTGGAATGGCCAGAAGCAGGTCAGTGTTGAAGTGTTTGGGTGGTAAACTGGGGAAGAGCTGTGAATAGAATGTTGCATAAAACTGGGTTGGAAGTCAGTGAGATTAGGGGTAGTGGTCCCACATCACCACGTATCTTCCCCACATTGAAACATCTATGTGCCTTCCAAGGAGCTGCCATCTCCAGCAGAATCTTCTGTTCCCAACTAAACAAAGTTAGGGACACATTAAGGTACCAGTTCACACTTCCCCAATAGTGTGATTCTTATACTAACCTATAACACAGAAAGGTGGCTTAACTCCTCATTTAGGTGCTCTCCCTGGCCATTTCGCTGTGTGATAAAATTACAGTTGAGGGCTGGAGTGGTAGCTCTTTGGTAGGATATACCCACCATACACTGACCCTGGGTTCACTCTCCAACTCTGAAAAAAAATTAAATATTGTTGGATAGATTATGTCTAGTTAGTCAGAATGTAGCTGTGATAGTACTTTGATTTTAAGCACTCTACATTTATATGGTTGTGTTATGCAATTATATAGATTGTTGCTGTTTGAAAAAATAACTTTGCACTTATTGGAAGCTGCAGGTTGATTGTAAAGTACAGATCAGTACTGTGAGCACTGAGAACTGCAAGAATTGTTTCTGTGTTTTTCTTTTCTTGAAGTATTTATGTTTAGTTCTACAACCTGATGATACTACAGGAAAATAACTCAGCTTCTACTACTGTGTGTTTACAGCACAGATGACTTCTATGTTCTCAAAATGTATGTGTGTGTCTCCCTCCAGAAAGTAGTCTGCTCTGCAGCAGAAACCATCTGGGCAGTTTAACTCTGGAACTGTCTATCTAGAAGTAATGTCAGATCCCACAGATTGAGAGCTCAGTCCCAACACTCAGCTTCCTCGCTTCAGACACCACTTGAAATTTAAAAAAAAAAAAAAAATTTCTATGACCAACTGACTGTCAGTTGGGATTTCTAATCCCCCATCCTTGGGTTTAGCTTACTGGTCTGCTCACAACTCAGGAAAATACTGATGTTGTCTAGCTTAGTCTAAAAGATGTTTTTTTAAAAAAAAATATTTATTTATTTATTATGTACATAGTGTTCAGCCTCCATGCCTACAGGCCAGAAGAAGGCACCAGATCTCATTCCAGATGGTTGTGAGCCACTATGTGGTTGCTGAGAATTGAACTCAGGACCTCCGGAAAAGCAGTCAGTGCTCTTAACCTTTGAGCCATCTCTCCAGCTCCCTAAAAGATATTTTGTAGAAGACAAATATCACAGTGTTTGGTGTTAAATGCCTGCAATCCTAGAATTGGGGAGGTGGAGTCAAATGATCCAGTGAGTTAGAGATCAGCCTGGTCTACCTCGCCAGTTTCAGACCACCAGAGATACATAATGAGACACCTATTGCAAAACTGAAGACAACAATAAAGAAATAGATAGCCAAATGAAGATAGGTAGGATTCCCATCCCTGTGGAGCTGGGGTCCCTGCTCCCAGGTCATGAATGATTTCTTAATCACTTTTTTTTCTTTCAGTTTCTCGAGACAGGGTTTCTCTGTAGCTTTGGTGCCTGTCCTGGAACTAGCTCTTGTAGACCAGACTGACCTCAAACTCACAGAGATCCACCTGCCTCTGCCTCCCAGTGCTGTGATTATAGGCGTGCACCACCACCGCCTGGCTCCTTATTCACTTTTCTACAAGCTTCCATGTGTTCAGCTCTGCAGAATGCTCCGAACCAATCCTCTTTGGGTTTGTTATAAAGGCTTCATTATAAAAGCATGATTGAAACAGGATGACCCTCTAACAGTGTGACCAGACAGAAAGGGTGTGGTCTAATGCTAGAAAGTTGTTTAGGGAAACCCAGCAGGGCCTGTCTATCCAGATTCTTCTTGGCCTCTGTGCAAGTTTGTCCTCCTAGCTATGGGCAGGACCTCTACTGAAATGGGGTTTATGATCAATCTACAAGATCAGATTTGTTTATGGCCAGCCTGATATAGAAAGAGAGGCAAAGCTCAGAATATATCTTTGTGTTCTATACTTGTCTAGGAGAAGAGAAGTGTTAGTTTCTATGACCTTCTATGAGGAGAAAGGGGCAGAAGATGACTGTGGTTTCTGAGGCCTAAAGCATCTCTGCATTACAAGAGACTGTCTGGAGCTAGAGTGCAGCTCTGTGGAAGAATGCTTGCCAATGTGTGCAAGGCCCTGGGTTCTGTCCCCAACACTGGAGAAAGAAGAGATGAATAAAGGATTGTCTTCCACCCTTACTAATACGTTTTCTGACGCTGCCTACCCTGCCACCCCCGCCCAATAGGTGTCTTCACAGATGCAACTCCCTGGTGGTGGATGCTCCAGAGATGGAGGCTGGAGCAGCTGTACACCGTCAATAGCTGATCACTTTAGGCAACCGGCAACTTTAGAGGAGGAAGCTGCAGTAGCCACCAAGAATGTGAAAGTGGACCTCTTGGTGCCTTCCCTTTGTTTGGAGAGTCTCTGAGTGGGCACAGTTTGGGGAGAGAAGAATGGGACTTCTCAGACACCATGACTGTGGCAACTGTTATAAAAGAAAACGTTTAATTGGGTAGCTTACATTTTCAGAGGTTTAGTCCATTATCATCATGGTGGGGCATGGCAGCATGCAGGCGGACACAGTGCTGGAGCTGGAGCTTTGAGTTAATACATCCTGACTTGCAGGCAACAGGAAATAGCTTGAGTATATATGAGACCTCAAAGCCCACCTCCACAATAACACACATCTTCCAGCAAGACCATACCTCCTAATAGTGTCACTCCCTTTGGGGAACATTTTCTTCCAGACCACCACACCATTGTGCCCCACTACTCAGTTATTAAGGAACTATACATCTGTATAATTGTTAACTATGTGATTGATGTCATAACATTTACAAACTAACAGTAGTGTTCATTTTCATTTCAAATTATTGGCCTACAACTTAAGAAGCTTCTGGAAAGATCTGGATTTTTAGATTCAAATTTCCTTAGTCCTTATCTTCACTTTTGTCTTTTTATCTTTTTAGAATCTCCATAATGAATGGATCCAGTGTAGCAGGTACATCACCCAGTGTGAAATGCAAAGAGGACCAAGGGTTAAATGGACATGAGGAAAAGGAAAACCCATTTGCAGAATATATGTGGATGGAGAATGAAGAGGATTTCAATAGACAGGTAAGCAAAGGTCACTATCCCTGTGAGCTACTGCAATCTTTTACTGTACTTGTAGGAACAGGATGGTTCTTCTAGGGTTGATAAAGGCCTAACACACTCAGAGAATCAGGGGTTCCAGATCTTGGTAGCCAGAGGCATATAGCTCAAGTTAAAATCTATAGCTCTGGGTTCTAAGTCAAGGGCCTGACCCTCAGGACTTAGTGTCATCCTCTGCTCTTAAGCAGCAACAATCAGAGCTAGCCAGGATTATAGCTCCTAAATCCTCCCAAGCCCTCAAGGACCTGTAGTCTCTCCTTCCCTCTTCCCTTCCACCCCACCGTCCTTCATTGCCTCTGCTGCTTGTGTGGAGTTCTTCCCTGCCCTCTTACCTCCACTGACATTGCTGCTACTGTTGTCAAGTAGGGGCTACTACTACAACACTTGCTGACATGCCCTTGTTGCTGTTTGTGTATCTCATCCTGGAAAGACATACTAAAATTGTTAAGACAAAAAAATAAAGATTTAAGATGCAGTCTTAAAAATTGATAAGACAAAAGATCTATATCAAGGTTTCCAGGCAAGCCACAATTTCTGAATGGTATGAAAAACATCTTGCCTGTGAAATGGCTCTGTTGATAAAAGCAATTGCTACCTTGACTTAGAGCCTGAGTTAAATCTCTAGGACCCACATGGTAGAAGAAGAAAACAAACTCCCATAAATTGTTCTCTGACCTTCACATGTGTGCAGTGACACATTGCACCTCCCTCCAACAATAAATAAATAAGCATAATAAAACATTTTAAGGCTATAATTCCTAATCCTAGTATTGATTGTCATTGGGTGGGTTGGAAGATGCACGTTCACATGCACCTATGCATGTGGAGGTCAGATGCCAATGCTGTGTGTCTTCCTCTAGCAGTCTCCACTGCAGTTTTCGAAACAGTCTCTCAGTGAATCTTGAAGGCGTAAGTCATAAACAATGCCACACCAGTTTGGAATTATGATTAATAGGGTGATATTTATTTAAAGGGAAAAAACTTACAGATCACCGTCAGCCCTCTGCACAACCAGGAAGGGAGTCTAGTCGCCTGCGGAGCAGGAAGTGAAGAGAGAGAGGAGAGGGAAGTGGCCGCTTTTTTAAAGAGAGAGACACCACGCCCCAATGGGCTGGTATCTCAGGGGCGATAGGCTGGAGGAGTGGGAGGACCTCCCGTAACACCTCCCCCTTTTGTTTAAATAAGAGAGTTCTAAACCTACTATGAAATTAAATACAATAAAGTACAAATATCCTACTCTAACTAGCTTAGGTCTTGTATAATAAATAACTTGGCCAAGTCATGAGAGAAAGTAACTACATTTATATAGTCTTCAACCCCATCGAAGATCTGAGAAGGGAAATAATGTTACCTGGGTAATTAGGAAGTTCAGTAAAACAACTTCCAAAACATGCAACAAATCACAGAGACAACTAATTACCTAGGCAATCACCCAAAGTCACATTAGCAGCGTTGAAGCAACCAACTTTGGCTAAGGCCTAACATAACTGACATACCATTTTCAAAGGCAAGCAACTTTTCAAAACTATCTTACCCTGTCTTGGCAGGATATGACAGCCCTGTTTTATCCATTGATGCACGCTCTGTATCTTTGTCAGTGGATGAGGTATGGGCATTTCTTTGCCCCAAGGCCAGTTCTGCCAAAAAGAAAGGCTCCAGGTGGAGTGTCTTTGGTGCTCAACATTCTCTCGGGAATAGAGTGGTGTTGCCAGGAGCAATTGTGTCTCACTACCACAAAACTCTGAGTTAGATTAAAGGCCATTTTCTACAGCTCTTTGAAGAAGTTGAAGATTATCTATCTATACTGAGTATAATCTCTATATATCTAAAGAACCTGATTAGTCTAATTATAAATGACAAACTTAGATGACTATTAGTCTCTATAATTCTCAATATCTATCTAACTTAAAGACTAAGACAATAAACGACTGTGAAACAAATGAGGATAATGACCTCCAAATATAAACACTGTACAAATATACATTGCAGTAGGTAAATATATATCAATACACAAATATTATATAAGTATCTTAATCAGATGTAGAAATGTACACTGCAATATGGTAAATATATACAATATATATATCAATACAATATATGTCAATACATAAAAATGTTTTAAACAGAGGTAGAAACATGCATGCATACAATAGTCAATATAATTTAACTTTGTATCAATATACAAGAATCTATACCAATATATTTGTCTAAAAGCAGTAACTCACAATTATAAATCTATTATCCCATCATTCCCTCTTTTTTTTTTTTTCAAAATGATCCCTGAGCTTATAAAATTCCTCCCCCAACCCTCAATCGTATACTGATTATAATCAACCCCTAAATGATGTCCCTAAACCCAAGGGCAAACTTTACTGGGAAAGGGGACATCGTCCTCTAGAATTACTTCCAGCTGTCATGGGGGCGACGTTCTTTCTGGGGGATCCTGTGAAAGTAAAATGATGGTTAAATTTCAAGATCAATGTCTTTTAAAATTGCCAATAGTCTCTGAGTATTTTGTGCAGGTCTGGCCAAAATGTTGTATAAGATGTGCACCATTTCAGCTAACCAAGTTGGAACTGTCTTGTGCAGCTGGTACCCGAAGCAGGTCTTGTAGTAGCGCTATCAGTATCATGACGTCATATCAACCGGGTGGAGTTGTTGTTATGGGGCCCCCATCTTCTTCCTGGAAACTTCAAATGTCACTTCAGGAAAAACTCATTGTTCATTATGAAAAACTTAAACATTAATCATATAGACATATATATATATATATATTCAATGAAAGACATGATAGATATATTCAATGAAAAGTATGATAGATATGAAGAAAAGTAAAGTTGTTTTCTAAACTCATATTTCTTTCTGTTCCACATCATGGCTCTTGACATGAGACAGAAACTCCAGAAACTCTGGGTTTTTCTCTTACTAACAGGCTTGGAATTGGAGAGGGACTGAGCCAGAGTCCAACTTCAAAACCAGCTTTATAAATTTAGAAATATGGTTTAATATTACTTACACAACCCATTCAGTTTTCTTGATATTTCCTATTGGGCAGGTATTTTTCCATCTGTCAGTATCCAAACATCCAGGGTCCCTTGAATTTCTCAAAGATGAGTGTTTTCCTGTGGAGATAAGAACAGAACCCTGCCCCCATTCTATATGTTTTTCTTACCACCTGTATGAATATCATCATTGTGGATGAGTTGTCATTTCTCCTTTCCAAGAGGTTTCTCCTCTTCAAATCGAAACTTTATTAATTTTGATGGTATCCACAATTTTTCTTCTCCTGTGGAAACAAGAGCAAAACCCCTTCCCCAACGTAGCACATCTCCTGGCTTCCACTGAGAGGTCAGCACATCTTTGAAATAAATCGGTTGATTTAGTTCAGCAGACTTTTCCATTATCCAATGTCTTTCTGCTGCTGTCGTTCCTTTCTCATTAGCATTAAGAAAATTCAAGGTTAATAAAGCATTATGTAATCTATTTCTGGGGGTATTTTCGGTCCCTTTCTGTTTGTTCAGCATATCCTTTATAGTACGATTTGATCTTTCTATAACTGCCTGACCTGTAGGATTATTTGGTATACCTGTAATGTGCTTTATATTATAATAATCAAAAAAGCGTTTCATTTTCTTAGATACATATGCTGGACCATTATCTGTCTTTATTTGTGCAGGTATACCCATGATGGCCATAACTTCCAATAAATGTATGATTACTGAATCAGCCTTTTCTGAGCTCAGGGCAGTAGCCCATTGAAAACCTGAATACGTGTCTATGGTGTGGTGTACATATTTTAATTTACCAAATTCCATAAAGTGGAACACATCCATCTGCCAGATTTCATTTCTCTTAGTACCCTTTGGGTTACTCCCTGCAGGCAACGGTGTTTGATTATAGAAAGAACAAGTAGGACATCTCTTTATAATGTCCTTAGCTTGTTGCCAAGTAATGGAAAATTCTTTCTTTAGGCCTTTACTATTGACATGACGCTTCTTATGAAATTCTGAGGCCTGCAACACACTTCCAATCAATAATTGATCAATCTCAGCGTTGCCTTGGGCTAGAGGACCAGGCAGACCTGTATGGGACCGGATGTGTGTTATGTACATCGGACAAAGCCTGTTCCTGATTATATCTTGTACCTGGATAAACAATGAAGTCAACTCTGTGTCATCTGGTATAAATTCAGCGGTTTCAATATGCAAGATAACTCTTTCTGCATATTGTGAATCTGTAACTATATTAAGAGGTTCTTTAAAATCCCTTAGCACCATAAGAATGGCATATAATTCTGCCTTCTGGACAGAATTATAAGGGCTTTGTTCCACCTTACTCAATTCATCTGACTTGTAACCTGCTTTCCCTGATTTATTTGCATCAGTATGGAACGTACGGCCTCCAGTTATTGGAGCATCACGTACAATTCTAGGAAGAATCCAAGAAGTTCTTTTTATGAAGTTAAGTCTACCACTTTTGGGATAGTTGCTATTAATTTCTCCCAAAAAATTAGCACAAGCTCTTTGCCACGGTTCATTGTCTTCCCATAACATTTTTATTTCTTCAGTAGTAAAAGGCACTATAATTTCTGCTGGGTCTATACCTGCTAGTTGACGAAGTCTCAGCTTACCTTTTATAATTAATTCAGAGACTTTTTCCACATAAGTTTTTAATTTTTTACTTGGTTTATTAGGTATAAATATCCACTCTAAAATAATATCTTTCCTCTGCATTAGAATCCCTTTAGGAGAAATTCTGGAAGGCAATATGACTAGGATGCAGCTAAGATTTGGGTTCACCCTATCCACATGTGCCTCCTGTAATTTTTCCTCAATCATTGTCAGTTCCTTTTCTGCTTCAGCTGTCAGTTTTCTTGGACTATTCAAATCTTTATCACCATCTAAGGTTTTGTTTAAATGAACTATCAGATCAGGTGTTATCCCAACAGCTGGTCGTAGACTGGA